AGCCGTTTTTAAGGAAGTGCGGTAGCGAGGCGGGCGGCCAGGTGTGCGCACCCGGGCATTGCATCAGCACACCCGGACACGGGGCTCCGCAGTCCCCACGCCTCGTCCCTGCACCCCGCAGCTGGCACACAGCGCCCGCAGGGCCACGCGGGCGCGGGCACATACGTGTCACCCTGCCGGCATCTTTTTTTTTTAACAGAGGAAAGTCGGCTAAGGGCAAATAAGGGTCATCCTAATTACGTGCCGTTTCCAGACTCGTTTATCCTCGCCGTGCTCATTATCCACAAACATAAAGTTAAGCGACCTTCGCTTTTGCTATTTTTTTATTATTTTTTTTTTTAGCCTCGATCTTTTCTCCTCCCTTGCTATTTAATTTGAATCACTGCGTGGATGCAAGGTGGGAAACCCATCCGCGTTCTACCGTCTCAAATAATTAATGTGATCCTCCAAATTAAAAGCGCATTTATAAGCTCGTGGAATTTGTAGTGAACAGTAATGAATTTTATACGTTTCACCGTCGCCTCAACCTCCTTTTCTTAGCCTCTGTTCGAGGTAAATTGGGAACGTCTTTCTCCCTCCTATTAAATCATATGCCGTACTGGAAAGCACAATTTCAGGCTCTCCGGTTTTGCCTTTTTTAAGAGTTGTGTTATGTGATAGGGTGCTACAATTTTTGCACGTCGGGCCGTTGTAGAAAATCTCAGGCAGGGAAAGTTCAGGCTTTTCGTACTTCGGGAAAGTTGTCGTGGTTTGTTTTTGCGTTTTGTTTTTTGGTTTTGGGTTGGTTTGGGTTTTTTTAACTTTAATTTAAACACTGACTTGATAGAAAATGAAGACAAGGGGGAAGCTTTCCACAGACAAAATGCGCGGACGTGAGCTGTTGTTTTGTTGTTGTTGTTGTGGGTTGGGTGTTTTTTGGTTTTTGTTTTGTTTGTTTTGTTGGGTTTTTTTTGCGACAAGACGTTATCGCATCTTTTGGGAAAACAGAAATTTAAATCAGTGCATAGTGGGAGAGATGGGTGAGATTATCCTAAGAAAGTGCAGGCAGTTGAATTTCTCCTTGGCGCAAACAGCGTACGCCCGTAAATTTCAATAATCTGGTGGGTTGAAATATTTAGCTAGCGACACGGGACACGAAGTCAGCAAAACCGCGGGAATATTCCCGGAGAAAACCTGCTCCCGGGGCAGCTAAAGCCCGCAGCCCGGCCCTGCGGGGGTGCGGAGCGGCTCCGGGAAGGCCGTCGGTCCGTGCGCCCCGGTGATCCCGGCGCAGCCCCCGCAATCCGCCGCACGCCGGTAAAACGGGAGGGCGTCGGGACCGGCCCCCCCCCCCCACAAGCACTCCGTGTCTATTTATAAACACTTATAAATGTGAATTAGACCTTTGCATGGCGCCAGCGGCCTTCCCGTGCGGCTTTTTGGAAAGCGCTTTCCCGGGTGTCGGGGAAGCGGGCGGCGGGAGGTTTGCGCGGCCGGGCCGGGCCGGGCGGGGGGATCCGGCCCCGGCGGGGTCCTGCCCTCCCTCCTCTCCCCCCTAACCCCCTCTCTCCGTCTCGCTGCCCTAGGCCTATTCCTCGGTGCCCGTGAGCAACATGAACTCGGGGCTGGGCTCCATGAACACCATGAACACCTACATGACCATGAACACCATGACGACGAGCGGCAACATGACCTCCAGCAGCCCCATGGCCTACACCCAGTCCAATCTCGGCAGGACGCGGGACGCCAAGACCTTCAAGCGGAGCTACCCCCACGCCAAGCCGCCCTACTCCTACATCTCCCTCATCACCATGGCCATCCAGCAGGCGCCCAGCAAGATGCTGACGCTGAGCGAGATCTACCAGTGGATCATGGACCTTTTCCCCTACTACCGGCAGAACCAGCAGCGCTGGCAGAACAGCATCCGCCACTCGCTCTCCTTCAACGACTGCTTCGTCAAGGTGGCCCGCTCCCCCGACAAGCCCGGCAAGGGCTCCTACTGGACCCTGCACCCCGACTCCGGCAACATGTTTGAAAACGGCTGCTACCTCCGCCGGCAAAAGCGCTTCAAGTGCGAGAAGCCGGCGAACAGCAAAGCCCCCCAGGAGGGCAGGAAAGATCAGGCCGGGGCCTCCAGTTCCAGCTCCAACTCCCCCCTGCACAGAGGCCACAATAAACCCGCGCAGCTGGAGACCGCCACCTCCCTCTCCGGCTCCAACCCGTCCACCAGCCCCCAGTCTATGGACCACAGCGGATCGAGCACGGAGCTAAAGACCTCGGCCTCGGCCGCCTCCTCCACCATCAGCTCCCGCCCCGCCTTGGCCACCGTCCCGCACCCCCCTCACTCCTTAGCCCACGAACCCCAGCTCCACCTCAAGGGCGATCCCCACTACTCCTTCAACCACCCCTTTTCCATCAACAACCTCATGTCCTCCTCGGAGCAGCAGCACAAGCTGGACTTCAAAGCCTACGAGCAGGCGCTGCAATATTCCTCCTACGGTGCCAGCATCCCCGGCGGGCTGCCCCTGGGCAGCGCCTCCATGGCGGGCCGGAGCAGCATCGAGCCCTCGGCCCTAGAGCCCTCCTACTACCAAGGTGTGTATTCCAGACCCGTGCTAAACACCTCCTAGCTCTGCACCCCCTGCCGCCGGGGGTGACCTCCTCTTCTCCCCCCCCCCCCCCCCCCCCCCCCCCCCCGAAATACTAGGACTTCCATTTACACATTAACAAAAAGGCCCAGACTGATCCTCGCATTGGTAAATTGTAAATCAAATACCATTAAGGTTTTTTTGCCTGGAAAAAAACCCACATTCTAATCCATGTGTTTTGTTGACTTGATAATCATTTCTTGATGACTGTTTCTTGTCCTGCCTATGCTTAAACTTTCACTTAGATGCCTGGACACCTTAGGATGCAAGGATCTGCGTCAGTAGCAGAGAGGCCACATCCATCTGAGTGTGTGTGCTGGTGTCCATATTAGACCTGCTGAACCGCCGCCCGGCCCCTCTCCCCGGAGATCCCCCCTTAGCCTTTGCAGGGTGTTATTAAAAAGAAGAAAAAAATTGTTGAGCTTGTAAACTACTTGTTTGTGCTTTCTGCCCCCTCCTCTCCCCCACTCCCCCCCGCCCCCTTCTGTGCTCTATAATCTCATGTAAGTTTACAGGTATGTGGCAATACTTTAACAATACGGAGATGAAGAAGCGAGTAGACGTTTAAGACTTTTTTTAATTAAAAAGGCTTTGAAGGACAATACTGCTGTGAAGTAGCAAAACACTAAGAGAATCTCTAAGCGACAAGAGGACTATTTACTTTCTCGGATCATCCTTTTGATACTTGCAAAATAAACCTTCGGCTAGTACAACCCGCATACACCCAGATGCTGCGGGCCGGATCCTGCACTCCCGAGGGGACCAACTGGAGCTTTGGAGTGCAGGATGCGACCCTTATTTTTTTCCAAGTGTTACCTGTCTTGGGATGTAATATAAAGTTACAAGAGGTCACAGCCAGTTGGATTTTTTTTTTCCTTCCCATCTGTTACTGAAGATTCTCGTTCATCAGGAACTCTCATCAACATGTGGATGACATGCTTATTTAATTTAAGTGTCTTCATTGTGTACCAGCTAGAACTGTGTATCTATAACAAGGTTATTTTCCCCCTCCCCCAGGAAACGTTGACTATTACACCGACGCAAGGAAAAGAGGAGAGCTCTATCTCTCTCCCCTTTCCCAACTTGTTTAATAAATTCCACATTCTTTTTTTTTTGTGGCCGTTTAATTATCGCCATCGTTAGCTTGTTTCATCCAGTGTTAATGCACTTTCCACAGTTTTACACGGTGTTAGCATAGCCAGACGGGTTTTATTATTATTCCTGTTCGCTGTCTCAATGTTCTTAATTTATTGCATGGTTTATATTTTTTTTTCTTTCTTTACAGCTGGAAATTGCTTTAAATGACAGTAAAAAAAAAAAAAAGAATTACACGTGAATTTAAGAAATTTTGTTAATTTTATAAATGTGATTGTAATTGAAAAAATATTTTGATTTAAAACGATAACTGAGAATTTAATGCGTGAAGTATGTTTTTGATCATTTGCAGTTAAGGACTTTAAATAAATCAAATGTTAACAATGGAAGACTTCTGCTATTTTCCTTCACAATTTCTGGGGCGGGTTACGGAGGACGGAGCCATGTGCCAGAAAAACAAACGTAGAGCGACAGCGTGGATGTGAAGAGGAACGATTTGGACGGCCGAGCTTGTGCGGAGGGAAGGAAGGGGACGCGCCCGCAGGCTGCGTTTGTGGGGCGCTGCGATGCCACCGGCGTGTGCGGGGCTGTATGTGCTGGTGGTGTCTTTTTATCATTGTTGTTATTTTTAATTTTTTTTTTTTTTCCACTCACGCTGCCGGCGTAGGTTGAGAGAGGGAGGGAAAATAGCCACCCGAGGCGGTGTAACCTCCTGGGTGCTTTGCTGCCGGGGTTGCCGGGACGGCGGCAGCCAGATCCGGTGTTTGCCCGCCGCACGGGGCGAGGCCCGGGGGGAACATCTCTGCCGCTGTTCCGCCTCGCCCCGGGCCGCGGGAAAAGCCGGGCCCAGCTCCCAGCTCCGCTCCCGCTTAGTAGCCCTGGCTCGGATCGATCCCGGCGATAACAGCAGCCGCGCTGGTCGCCAGCAAGCGGCATCCTCGGGGCCGGGTGTGCGTGTGTGTGTTTAAACGTGAACAGATTTCGCTGTGCTCAGCCCCCTCCGTGTACGGCCGCCAGATAAAAGAACTGTGTAATTCTCATAATTACCACATAATTGCCCCCCTGACGGGTTGGGGGCAGCGGCGGCAAACTAAATTTAAGGGCCGATTTAGAAAAGCAAAGCAAAGCCAGCGCCCCAGAAATCTCACCGGATTCCTCCCGCACCACTACCCAGAGAAAAACGGGAGAAAAAAAAAAGCATATTGGAGAGTCCCTCTGCCGTGGGCAGCGCGGTGGCGGAGGGGAGGGGGTGGGGACGAGATGCGAGCACTGTTCTACCGGCGAGACGGGGGCGGGGCTGGCGG